ATCTCTCTCTCTCTCTCTCTCTCTCTCTCTCCCTCTCTCTCTCTCCCTCCCCCCTCTCTCTCTCACTTATCGAGTGTATCAATCTGTCAGCCGAGATGTTGTATTCCACTCAGCTTAAACTGGAGGGTCGCAGTAGCCCGCCTCCTAAATAGTGAAATTGTGTCGATGGGCGGTGGTGCAGCTTAACCCTATCCGTTGGCCCTGGGGTCATTTTGTACCCCCGCGGTTGTATTCTTCACATTTTAGAATACTTCTAGTGCGAAGATTTCTTTGAAACTTTCAGTATTTTTAAAATATTATTTTGACAGACTGCTATGCAAAGCGTACGGATCGGATTAACAAGTAATTTCCTCTTTGGAAAGCGGTGGCACGGAGTTCCCCACATCGTATGGATACGATAGTAAAACACGACGTACGGATAGGGTTAAATTTTCGCCATTACAGTCACAATGGTATGATAACATCTATACTTGGAGTGAAAAGTACTTTCAAACTGTACCACGCCATGACTGATCCCGTGTGCAGAACTTGAGGTTTGGTTTTATTTGTTGTTGTTGTTGTTGTTGTTGTTGTTGTTGTTGTTGTTGTTGTTGTTGTTGTTGTTGTTGGGTGTTTTTGTTGTTATAATTATTATAATTGTTTTTGCTTTTGTTGTTTGTTGTTTTTTTGTTCTACTTTATGTGCAGGGGGGTGTAAAGGATACCTGTGTCTCTCTCAAAGACACCCGCAACTGTCGACCCATCAAAAACCATTGTATAAAAACGGTTTTTGACTCAATGGTTTAATTCTTGGATGGGAGAAAAATCGTGGTGGGTGGTTGGCGGATGCTCTGGTGTGGTTTGCTCCTTCTTTCCTATCAAACATCTCTATTGTCCTTATCTGCCCTCCTTCTAATTTGTGTTTGTTACTCTCTTTTAACACCTCTAATCTTCGGCACTTGTGTGACCTTATTGTATTGCAAGTGTCGTAAAACGCTCACTAAAACTAAAAAATCGTGGAGCGAGCGGAACTTAGGAGATCTTCAGATGAAGAACCCCCTTCAAGCAAGTGTTTCGGCCCTAACACTCTAAGGGGGGCGGGCCACACTAAGGTCGTGACTCCCAAGTGCTCTCCTGCTGTTTTTTGGTTTGTGTTTTGTTCTTCTTTGGCGCAAAACGAGGATCAAACCCAAGCGATCTGGGAACATCTCCGGATCTTCAGTCATTTGATGTTTGTGCAATACCCCGAAGCCTCCAATGGATATAGCAAATCTGAAGCTATATAAAAATTTACTGAACTTTTGGGAATGTCCTGATCTGTTTTCTGTTCTATTTTAAGCGGATGATGATGATGATGATGATGATGATGATGATGATGATGATGATGATGATGATGATGATGATGATGATGATGATGATATATTTGTTTGTATCATGTTCCTGACGAAGCCCTTTAAATGGCGAAACGTTGAACCCCTTTTTTATTCCCTACTACGTACAATGATGATGATGATGATGATGATGATGATGACGATGATGATGATGATGATGATGATGATGATGAAGGTCAAAGAAAATAAACAGAGCTTTACACATACTTGCATCGGCATTTTGAAATCCTTGAGGCCGAAACTGTTGCCAGATATGCTGCTTCGAGAAACGTGAGACATGCGTCGACCCGCAAGGCCGTACTGCACGCTCGGACGCGCGTCCATTCTGGACATCCGCCGGATGTTGGGGCCCGCCATCATGCCCTCTGTGTCTCTCTGGGGAAACATGACGAAAACCAGGCACGTTATTCTGATAGTTCATATTGCTTAGTGAATGAGTCTGTCTGTCTGTCTGTCTGTCTGTCTTTCTGTCTGTTTGTATGTATGTATGTATGTATGTATGTATGTATGTATGTATGTATGTATGTATGT